TTTCTTTTCTAATTATACTAGTATTCTTTTTCTTATTTAGTTTTATTTCTTTAACTATACAAAGTTAATTTTGATTTGAATTATAATATTATATTAATTTTTAATTTTTTATATTATTTTGAAAGTAAAAAATCTTTATTATAAATAAGTCATACTTTTTATTTTAATTATTTTATTGTTTTAAAAGTAAAAGATCTTTATTATAAATAAATTATATCTTTTTAGTTATTTAATTTTTCATATATTTTAGTTTTATTTTCTTTAGTTATAGTCTTATTTAATTAATAGTAGCTTTATTATTTAATTATCTTAAATCTTGAATTATATTGATTACTAGTAATTTTATTAATTGATTTTTATAATTTTCTTGATTTTATTTTACTTTTATTATTTATTTTTTTTATAATTTTCTTGATTTTATTTTACTTTTATTATTTATTTATTTCTTTTTAAGATAATATCTATAGATATTGATATTAATCTTAGAAATTTTTATTAGTATTAAAAGTATATTCTAATTTCTCTCTCTTTATTCTTTAATTAATTTAGTCTCTTTTAACTTAATATTATTAAGATAAATCTAAATAAAATTTACTTATCAGATTTGTTGTAATAATAGTTTAGAAAAAAATTTACTTTTTTTTAAATTTATTATAATCTAATATAAAAAATTTATAATTTAAATAAATATTAATAAATTATTTTTTTAAAAATAAAATTTTAATTATATCTTATTTAATTAAGTTATTAAATATTAAAATTTATTTAAATATAAAAATTTTTATTATAAATCTTTTATAAAAAAAATTTTACTAATAATTAATTTTGATTATTAATTCTTAAATTTTACTATATAAAATTTAATTAAAATTAATATAAAAATTATATAATAAATAATTTAATTATTAAATTTTAAATCTTAATTTCTTTATAATTACTAATTCAATTTTTATAAAATTTAAAATATATATTTATCAAATCTAAAATAATTTATTTATATAAATTAAAATTTTAATATTATACATTAATAATAATATTTAAAATTTTTTTAAAAAAATATTTTATTTTAGTTTTTTTTAAAAAATAATTACTTAATTAAAATATAATAAAATAATAAAAATAATATAAAAAATTAATAAGTAATTATTAAGTTTTATATTAAAATATAGATTATTTATATTAATTTATATAATTTAATAAAAAATTATTTAAAGATATAAAATTTATTATATATATACTTTAATATTTATAAAAAATATTTTCTTAAGCTTATTTATTAAATAATATTAATATTATTTTTAATTATTTTTTTTAAATAATTAATTTAAAAAATGATTATAAAAATTTTAAATATATTTTATATAAAAAAAATCTTATATAAAAATATTTAATTATATTTTTCTTTATTATATAATAAAAATTTATTAAATTTTTATCAAATTTTACTAAGAATTTTTTATATTCTAATAAAATAAGTTAAGTATAATATATAAAATTACTTATTAAAATTATTTTAAAAAAGTTTTTGAACTTAAATTCAAATTTATAAAAAATATTATTATGATATTTTATTCTTAAATACTAATAAATATATATATAAATATTTTTATTCTTTAAGTAATAATTATTCTTTAATGAATTTTTTATTTAAAATTAAAAAATGTGCAAGTTTTTTTTTAATCTGTATATTAAATAATAAACTTTAAATTTTATTTTAATATAAAAATAAAAATTATTTCTTAATAAAGTTATAAACTTTAATATTATATTTAATTAATAAAAATTAATCTTCTAATTTTATAATTCCATTAATAACTCTATTTTAAATTAGTTTATTTAAAATAAAAAAGAATATTTAATATAATATTTTAAATAATATTATATCTTTATAAATTGCAATCTTATAATTTTAATTAAGTATTTAATAATTCTAATATATAAAATAAATAATTTTATTAAAAATAAAAAATTATTTAAATTTTAAATTATTTTAATTTTTAACAAAATTATTTATTATATAAAGTATAGTAATATTATAATACTTGAATTTTTTATTAATTATAATTATATATAAAAGTAATTTTCAGATCTTTTGGATTTTTCCAAGAGTTGCATACAAAGTCAATGAATTTTTATTAATTATTAATTATTAATTAGTAAAAATTAAATGCAATTAGAACAACTCTTAGAAAAAATCTGAAAAATATATATGTTAAAATAGAGAACTCTAGCTTCATTTTGAGCCAAAAATAAAAATATTTATTAGTAAAATTAAAACTTTTATATGTAATTAAAAAAATATGTCTTTTTACTAATTACAATTAGTAAAATATTCAAACATTGCATTATTTTTGATTGCCACTGTATATAATTTTTTGCCCATATTAATCACGTGGGCACATAAATAAGCATGATTATAACAGGATTTTACTGTATGTATACATAATCGTGTAGTCCTATACATATATGATCCTTGTTTTTGATCATCTGAATCAACTGAATGTTGAATCGAAATCCTGAATTAATCTATTTAAATGCGTATTATACGTGTTTTGTCTCTGACGCACGTAAAACCTTTTTACAGACATCAAAACTTTTTGGCATATTTCCGTAGTGCGAATTTTTCTTATCGCTATTCTGTCCAAATCTTTGTCAAATCTGGATTTATGTTCGAATTTAAAAATTTTTGATACCGTGGAAAAATTAGTAAAAACACTATAAATTGATGCCGTTATTTGACTCGAGAACAGCAATCTATAATAATGTAATATAAAGATTAAATTAATAATGATGTTATTCTCCCACACATTATATCATACCCTCAAGTATTAGTAATATGTAAAAAATGACGTAAAGTAATATGTAGATTTGTTAAACGAGTATATATATAAAGAGAAACATCGGTCGGTCATTCACGCATAAATACAACAACAAAAATGTCTAGCTTTCGTGGTCGCCACGACGACGAAGGAACTGTCCAACGCGTAGAAAATACATTGAAAAATCTTTATCATGATATCGAACACACAATTCGTCATTACATTGATAGACTTAAGCATGGTAGTGGCAGAGCTGATGATCAATTGACCTTGTTCAAATTTGAAACTTTCTCGCCTATTGTCGATGGTACTCTTACAAATATGTTTTTTTGATACGATATATATGTACCTTTAACTATGACTATTGAAATAGTGTATCAACGTGATGATAACTTCATTATACATGGTAAATGCATGTATTGCGTTGCTACTATATTGCGAATGATAGATCAACCAAATTCTTTTATTGTTAGCTGAACTACCCGGTGTTCCTAAAGAAAATGTGAATGGTGAATAAATATTACTGCTTTTTTTGTTGCGTGATTCACCGTTAATTAATTAATTCATTTGTTTTTATTAGTCGAGATCTTTGAAAACAGACGACTTGTAATCAGGTAATAAATTCAAATATCTAAAGTTTACAACATACGAAAAATGAACAATTCCATATTTTAAAGTGGTGAAACACATAAAGAAGGAAAACGTAATACCGGAAACGGAATAATTATTGAACGGCGTCAAGGAAAATTTTACGTAGGTTTCTTTCGCTATCTATATATGCTATTACGTATATAATTAACGAATATAATAATCAAAAAATAAAATAAAGCGTACAATTTATTTTCCCGCTGATATTGACCAAAACAAAGTCCAAGCTCACATAGATCATGGAATGCTTAAAATCACGGTTTGAATTCAATTATTCTTTTTCTGTTACCTTAATAACAATTTATCATTGTTAATTTCGTTTGGTTTGAAAAGCTTGCACTCAGTAGAAAACCTGGTACAAATATTGTTAAGCATATTGAAATTCATTAGTTATTTCAGGTTTAGATAATTATAGTCCACCTTTCCTTTGTCATGTATATTTTATTTTATTTTTCAATATTGCCTCTGTAGTAAATGGCTTAATACAATGGATATATAATATCGACAACAGCAAAAATAAGATTTCGTTTGCAATCTCTCAAATCTAATATTAAACAAACTCGACGAATGATACGTAATTGATATCATTTGATACGAATAAAAGTAATACGTCATCACAAAACATTGTGCTTCAAATAAGTTCGCTTGATCATCAAATTTCTTTACTGAGATTAGTACTTAATCGTTTCTGTTGTTGGTTCCACTTATCGTTATTTGCTATTTTTATTAACGTAATATCATTAATATTAATTATATTTATTATCGTTATCGTTATCATGTTTTTTATGTCTTTAAATTCTATTAATCTAAAATATTACTATTATTAATAATTACTACTACGTTACGTATAACTATTTAGCTATTACTCCAGAATAAATAATATCATAGAATTGATAATAATATTAACAATAATATTATCTAATAAATAATAATAATAATAATATCAAATAAAAATTACTAGTCATAAATATTAATATGAACAACAAAGCAGTGAATATGATTCCTACAGATATATGGACAGAGATTTTCAAATATGTTATCGATGAACCGAGGTTTGAAATTTGATTTTATTTTCTTAACGAGATTGTTACGTTAAAAATTTTATGATATGAAATTTTTTTTTAGAAAGCTCTCAAAATACTGGTGCAATCGGGGCTTATCGAGAAGTATAAAAGAAGGAGTCGAGAATGCCGCTGCTGATATTTTACGCGAGAATGTTATATTTTCGCTTGATGTTTCTGTTACTAGAGTGAGTATTCGAGATGCACGACAATGGTAACTAAATGTGCGTTCATTAGTAACACTATAGTTTGATTTTACCGAACAGAAAGGAGTTTGGCCATACGATGCACATCAATATCTATTGTCCAGCACGACTCTACCTTTTCCAATTCCAGGCAACGTACCATACGCCGCATTTTCATTCCCATTAGTTGTCGAGAATTTGGAAATTAATGCATTAGGTTTGGCTACAATTCATTTCGATTTGAAATATAAATTGAGACCACCGCAATTAGAAGATTCCGATGACCAAGGGTACAATAATTTCTTTGTTTTCCCTGGATTGAGAACGACGACCATGGCTGCGAACAATTTATTACTATTGAATAATAATCGCCAACGTGGTCGTAACATCAACAATAATAATAGAAACCACAATAATAACAACAATAATAACATTAACGTCAATCTCTTTAATGTTATCATGAATGACACTGCTGCCGAAAATCAAGATAACGATAAAAATGATGAATCGAACTGGAGGAACTTTTGCGCAAACTTTGAGTTTTGGAAGATGTCAGCTGATCGAGGAGTCTGGTGGTCTGGCGCAATTGGAGTAAAATATCAATTTGATTTAAGCGGAAGTTTCAAATTGAAAGTTGACGAGGTTCTTGTTCGACCTGTGCATGGATGGATCTGATGAAGAGAGTTGTTTGTTGCAGGGTCAGTCGATGCTAGTGATGGTAGTAGTAATGTGATTTTCTATTATATATTATTTTTTTCGCTGGCTGATTTGTCTGTTTGTATTTTATTTGAAATGTTTATAGAAGAACTTGTAAATTCTTTCTATTCATTACTCGAAAAAAGTAGAATTTATTATTATTAGTATTATTATTTTATCATTAAAATAGCTTGAAATTTATTTTTATTATTAATTGTGTGCGAAAGTAATGAAAATAAAGTTGATTTCAACTAAATCGATATTTCTTGAGTTGGAGTACTGCGTAAATTTACTAGGTTTGGAAAGGGAATTTTAACAGATACGTCCCGTTTTCGTTAGTAACAAAAATTTACATGTACATGTATGGGACAAATCTGGGATTAAAGTAGCCGTTTTTTAGCATGTGTTACATTGCGATCTTGTTAGCGTTAGTGCAACTTTCTTTTAAAAGCATGAATTTTTACATCTTGTCACTGTCGAGTAGTTAATCTAATAAGTTTATTAGGTTCCTATTTTGATTAATAATTGTTTAATATATAACTATACCACTCTTTTTGTAACAGAAATTTTTCATTTATTAAAATAGTTCGAATCATGCCAAAGAATAATTATTATAAGTAGGTTAGTTTTTTATTTTTTTATTACAATCACGATTTATTTTGTTGGATTTCAAGGATCTCACACAGGCGCAGCTAATTGCAAACAAATGAAAACTTAATTAAACTCAGAAGTTTGTTGCAATTTCTCTGAGATATGATTACAAAATAAACAAACTCAATCAATGTCCACTCATTATCGTATCGTTGTGTATCGCAATTGTTGATGGAACTAAAAGTATGACACTTTTTCCAAATATTTAGATGATCTAGAACATAAAAAATTCTCTTCAGCTAATTCTGGATATAAAAAAAACGGGTTGCAATTCAACCTTTATATGCAAACCCTTTGATTATTGTTGCTTTTATATCATCTTTTATTATGCAATTTATAGCAACATCAACAAATGTAATCATAAATTTTGCATTTTTGGATATTTGCTCTACTTGCGGATTACGCGAAATTTTAAAAATAAAAATCCGATAACTTTGTGGCGCGATATCATGACATCCAACTGTCCTATATTAGACGAATTAAATGGACCTATTTCTGTCCAAATTGGACAATGGGATGTCGAGATATCGCATCCCAAAGTTACCGGATTTTTTATCATAATGATCTACACGTTTTTGGTTTACAGAATTGCAGAAATGCAATAACGATAACAGTGCTTGGTATTTTAACCGGCTCAAGTAATAATCATGAATTTCCTTATTTATTATTTAACACGTTAATTCCTAATTTGGGGAATCACTAAAGCCAGGTAGTGAATTACTGTATATTGAAATCCAGATTAATTAAATCCGTAAATCCAAATTAAGTAAATTCGGATTAATATTAGACCACATGACTATAATTTGTTTATTTGGCCGGGGTGGTTGGGTTTGTGTACCTGCAAGACGTTTATTTTACATAAGAACCACGTCTATGAACAATTCTGCGCTATATATGATACTACCACTTCACTGCATTACACAAGAATCGCATTTATGAATAATTCCGCGTTCCTTGTATTATAAAAAATAACTATTCTGCACTACATTAAAATAGTCATTACGCGCTGCGCGTTGTACACATTCCCAACATTATACACGCTATAAGAACGATAAAAACATCCAAATC